TAGATTTCAATCAAAAAAAGCTAATTTCTTATTATCAAAAATAAAAAAAATGCTATTTTTGGTAATTTCTTACTCTCAAAACAATAAAATCAAAAAAATTGGTGAACGAAATTCAATTTTCTTATTTTTAAAAATCAAATGGCCGGAAGGTACACGGACCCCCTAAGGTAAAACTTCAAGCGAAAACTTAAATCTTAAATTTCGTGGAACCGAGGTGGTAAGTTTATATTTTAAAATTTGGCCTGCGCAATTAAAAAATAGTTAATATATAAGCTTTATTATCTCTGGAAATCTCGAAAAAAACCTTGTTATCTTTTGTTATTAGCTGGTTTAGATCAAAAGTTAGCGAGGGAACGCCTGCATATTAATAAAAGGTCTTGAATTTCTACACGAAGAACGATCTCAATGTTAATTTAAAATTAAGTCAGCTACCAACACGAACATTTCAGTTGGGCGCGAAATCACAACACTGTCACGCAAGACGCTTTTGAACGCAATGAAGTTGATTGACCCACTCCGCGCACTGTGGTATCGCAAAAAAAAGATTTGCGCAAAGAGTTAAAGATGATCTAAAATTAATATTTTAAAACGATTTTTTGACTGAATTTTTAATTAGAACGACTGTTGTCCAAGTTTGTTGAATTACTATGAATCCCAGTGGTGGCAGATATGGCCTGACCCTCACAAGGTATACTTGTCAAGTGGTGATGTGATATGTCTGATAAGGAAAACTCCTACGTGACTGGCAAAGGTTGGAGTGAAGCCTCCTCCGCTAAAAAATATTTGCTTGCCCTTATTGGGGGATCCAGTTGAACAGATCTAGTGGTACATATAAGGACCGTGCGCAGGGTCCAGACTCGTACCCAGTCGCTTCTCTTCTCTTATTGATCTCACGCTGTGGGTGATGGGAAGGATTTAGTGAGTTCGCGGTGCATCAAGGGAAGAAAGCAAGAGAAAAGCGAAAAGTCATCGCGCGCATTAAAAAAGCGTGAGTGACCACTAGGTACGAGTCTGCGCAGGGGCTTAGTGGTTGATTGTAAAAGGTGACCCCAAGAGATCATAAATATGTTTATGCTCTCTTGGTGAATCGTAGGTCGCGCGCGCTCGGCGGAAAATAAAAAACAGTCATTTTACGACTCACGAATGAAACTACAGTTACAAAATCACAGTTCACGACGAACGAGAAATCTATTTTATTTTACGAAAATTTGCTGCTCACGACGACTTACGAAAATAACAAGGAGACAAGGAAATTACTTACCATACACAGGAAGAAACCCTTCAGAACATTTTCTCTTTGCAGAACTGCACAGACAAGCAGAGCGTTCTTCGTACAGAGTGGGGTCAAGTACTTCAGTTAGGGATAGACAATCCAACTGCAGGATGTAAAGAAGTATCTATTACCAATGATATAAAGACGAGAAACATCGTATGTAAAGGTACGTGGGTGGGTATCGTTGAGTGACTGGGTGTACAGGTCACTTAAGACCACTCCCACCCCTCCCCTAGCTTGTCGTACCTTGGCCCCTAATGCTGGGCCACATCTAACTCGCACAACTTGGGCTACGCCCCGTGGATCCACACTACTTTGATAATGTGATGACGCAATTTATCGTCAATAAGAGGACAGACACATAAAATCTGATGTCTATTTGTTAAATGAAACTGTCCTTGAGACTATTCCTTAATTGGTTCCTTTTTACATGTGTCCCTGGTATATATACCCTCCACAGTAGGCCTGCTTTGTATCTTGCTCATAGATTAGCCCTAATTGCAATTGGGTATTAATAATAGTAATAACTTAATTGGATATACACAATTACTGGAAATCCGAGAGTGGAGTTTGGTGGTCCCTGGCTTAATTTTGACAATAAAGTTGTCATTGCTGCGCGACCAGTACATAGTTCCTTGCAAAATGCCGTTCGAATATACACTAGCTTCACGTTTCTATACTGATTGTCTTCGTGACACTTTGAGATCACGCTGTCGTTATTACTTTCTCAGGCAAGCAGTACTATCGTGTAGACAGTTACAACCCAAGGACACCAAAATGCTGGTACATAGCGGCCAACCATTGTCGTTCTTTAGTGAGTATCTGTATTGCTGGTATTCAGTCATTCCCAGAGTGAAAGAACGATAGAAAGTACTATTTCAGTCTTTATTAAAGCACGCTTTCTCTTAAGTCTTTCATATGAGCCGGATAAGGGGCTTTACTGGCATTTGCAGTTATAAAGCACTTGGGGAGTGCATGACAGAACCCTCGAAAAGGTTTTAGAAGCAGTGCCATGCGTGCGCGCGTTTTCTATTTCTTCAGTGCTTTGTTAATAATATTCGATTCGGTACATTTTGCTTTATGACGGCACGCAAATAGTTCTCCAAAATTTGTTTTGGGAGTTCAAGTCAAGTAAGATCCGTTTTGCTGTGGATAGTATTAAAAATCCACTTGTAGGAAAAAGGAAAAAAATGCATTTGTATACCAAATTTTGGTGCACGTTGGTTTAATGCCAAAAATGTGCAAGTTTGTTAACAATAAAAAAGCGTTATCCCCGGCCCTAGGAATGTTGGAGAAATAGAAAAGTTGCCATGTCTCAAATGCTTACCAATAGCATAAAGAAGGGGGGAGGAAAAAATATATGAAAACTAAACAAGATGAACTCACACCCCACTTTTTGGTTCCTATTTCCGCAACCTGGCGCACATGCACCACTTATCCCTTGGTTAAAATGTGCTTTTTCTTCCTCCCAAATGATATCTCATTTTTCAATCACCAGGGGTTAAAGATAAATTACACTTTTAACATCACAGGTAAGATTATCCCTGAACCTTTAAGATTCAGGAACAAAATTTTGTTTTACTTTGGCCACCCTGTTTAAATGAAGGTTCCACAACCATAACCAAGTAAAAGAGAATAAAACAATGGAATTAAATAAATGTTTACTACTATGTACCATACTATTTTTTCAAAGGCCAAGTAAAACCACTTTAAGCTTTTGTCATATCAGTCACCCAAGCCATGCCATATTTTTTTTGCAGGTGCTTACTACAACTCTACCCAGAGGAATCATATATCTTCTTCAGGACAAGCTGTTTTGTTCCTATTAACAGGGATGTTACATTGCTTGATGCAAATGCTGTAGAGAACATTCCTTGTATAGAGGAGTGGAGGGGGACATAGCCATCTACATGGTGGTAGTCAATCTTAGAAAGATCAGCCTCACAATCTTGTAAGGAACGAATGTTGTGGCTTGACCCCTTTTTTGGGAGGGGGACCATGGCAATGGAAAGGAGAAAGGAGAAAGGAGAAAGCTCTTTCCTTCCACCCATGATACAACACCCTGTAAGCTATGAAACTATTAGGCTTGACAAAAGGTGAATGAATATTTACATCTTAAATGAAACTATCCTTGATAGTGTCCTTAGACTACTATCTGTTTCATTGTTTAAGTGCATGTACCCCTCTACTAAGAAATTAAATAATAAATTCATAAGTCTACATTAAATTTATATTTACATAAATTTATATTTTGCTACAATAAAAACATGTCTGTTCCCTGTGGTTACACATTAAGAGTATGTAAGTGTTATATATAATTTAAAAAATACATTATATTATACATCACATTGTATAGTCTCTCAGTGCTGGCATACACCTCTTTCAAAAAACGTTTTTGGTTGGATATCTGAAATCAGAAATCTGAGACCAATTGAAATTGTGGGGGACTGAGTGTTTTCTCATTGAAAATTCAATATACACTTACCCAGATAGTTTGCCAGCACAGGTCATTGCTCAAAGTTAGTATATCAAGATATTAACTTTTTGCGAACTACTAATTAAAACCACAAACAATTTACAGCTTACAACCCACAATTCCTTTCGGTCTCTAATTTCAGATCTCCGACCAACAATGTTTTTTGAAATAGGTGTACAAATATTGTGACTGTATGATAATCATTCTAGAGCACAGGTCGTTGCAGTTGAACAAGCTTCCATTCATGTGCCACTTCTCCATTATTAGCTGGGGCCTTGGCTCCCAGTATCACCCAGACAGCACAGGCTGATTCTGGGTAAGGGAACACATGTACTCTTAGCGCAAACTCCATCAGATTTCCTTGGTAATCAATCAGTGATTTATATTCTGCTGATAATTGCATATCACTAAATGCTTGAGAAGCATTCAAGTGAGTTATCCGTGTTGTGACAGACTGAAGTGTGAAGCTCCTGTTTAGGTATCGATATACTGGGTCATACAACTCTTCTCTTTTTAAGTCTTGTCCTGTTTTGGCCTCAGACTCTTGAGCAGTCAATATTGGTGATAAAATATTAGACAAGTTATTGTCCCATTTTGTTTCTAGGCCCTTACCCTAAGACAAACAAAAGCATTACATTAGATATCATCAAGTCTTTGGGTTTAGGGAAAGAAAAACAAAGTAGTTATCAAGGGCAGATCCAGGGGGAGCAAAGGGGGGCTGAAGCCCCCCCCTTCAGCAGAAAAAAACAATGCTTTTTTATATTGTTTTCCAATGTGTTGACAGAAGAAACTCAATTAGTCCCCCCCTAAACTCAATTAGCCCCCTCCTAAAATTTTGGCTGGATCCGCCCTTGGTTATGATTAAGTTCACAATTCTGAAAATATTAAGGAATTAGAAAAATGTCTCCTTTAACACTTCCCGCTCGCCTGCAAAAGTTCGTCCTGTAAACCAGAGGCATAACAAATCAGATAAAAAATTTAAGCAATTTCTACCCAAAGTCTCTTTCAGTGCAGTTGCATAGGCTTGAGTTGGTCGAGGGCAACGTTTTTTTTTGAATTGACTATAATTATACAATATTATTATAATATTCTACCTGTCTGTAGTTTTCTATAAGAGACCTCAGCTCCTCTTCCAATGCTTGGCTAGTCTTCTGTACATCTATTGTTGATGGAGTCAGGCTTGGAGGTACTGGCAAGGGCGGCTTTTCGCAATTTTAAAGAATAAATATAATTTAAGTAAGTATTAACATTCTTTATAGATACATGATAGATATCATTATATGCGTGTCACTGTAAAACCTATCTTTGTTTTCAAATCAAATTATTCATAGCAACCATATGAAACAAGAGCTCAGAAAAAATCTGATCTTCAGTTTTTTTTGGTTAGTATTGTTAGGATTTCTACTGGTTACAACATTGATCCAAAACACAGTTAATGTTAAAGAGTATTTTGACAGCTGGTAACAGACATACTGTTTAGCATTCTTCAGCCCCGGGCGAGGGAGGGTACTACCATATATGGACTATATGGGGATGATCCGCTGAACAGGGTGTTTTTTCGAGCTTCTTGTCATAAACAGGGTATGCAATTTCACTCAAGTTCCAAGTTCTTCCTGAGTTTCCTGTCATATTCAGGGTTTCTACTTTTGTATTGACCGAAACTGGTTATTATGGTTGTAAAAAAACGATACGCGAGATGACATGATAATTGAAACAGGAGTACCCCCCCAGGATTTCAGCCTTCTGTTTGATATCTTACTCAGCCTACAGTTCCAGGTATAACAGCATTATAATCACTGTTATATGTAATGTAAAGACTACTGGAAGCCATTTGTAAAACTACAGGAAGCCATTTGAATGGTACAACACTATTTTTTTAACAACATTCTCCTAGAATTAGGAACCATAGACCTCTAACCTTGGGCGTAATGTTTCACCATCTCAGACCATGTGTCATACCATAGAGTATCATTAATTCTTTACTTGACAGTTGTGCATGAGAAATGGCATGAATATGGATACAACCTAAACTCAATCTCATTTCAAACTTAATCTCAAATTAAGAGAATGATGATACATGGTCTGTCATGGGGAAACATTACAACCAAGGTAATAAAACTTACCTGGATCTCAGACCCACAGATGGCATAAATAGCATCTGCATCCATTGCTTTCCACTTGGCTGGGTTGTTCAGGTCAAAGTCACACTGACTTATCAACCCATTTGCCTAAAGTATATGAATTCCAAAAACTTTGTTAACATTGCTTGACTGCTATATGAGCAACCTCAAGTGTGCAGTATATTAAATTCTTTCTTATGTAAAACAGTTGTATTGTTCCTGCCATCTAACATGGCTGCCATCATGTGATGGTGCAAAGCTTCTATTCTATTGAAAAGCTGTGATTCAGCTGACGAAGATTCTACACGAGACAGGAAATGACGTCGAGTGAAACCCAGCAATATAGTTTGCAAGCATTCCCAAAAGACCCAAATTACAAAGACATGGCAACCATCTTGGTGGCATTAACAAAAGATGCTAATGGGAAATATTTAGTTAAATGGCACCAACATGGTCACAATGACAATGTGCAAACAAAAGAATAACTTAAAATATCTATAAGAATGTTGATAAAATAAAAATGATATAAACAATTCATGTACCTGTATGTTAGCATAGAAGCAAGTGTTACTGAATACACAGGCTAAAGTTCTGAACTGAGAGCAGACCGTGGATAAACCCTCTGACAGACTAAAACTGTAAAACAGAAAAAAATATGGTTAAACAAGTTTCAAGATATAAATCTTGGAATGGCTACAGCACAGACTATTTACCTTGGGTGTAATGTTCTCCCACTTCAGACCACTAGTCATTTCCTAGAGTATCATTGCTTTGTTTAAAAGGTTGCACATGCAAAGACAAATGAATATGGACACAAGGGAATAACAATGATGTGGTCTGAAATGGAAAAAAACATTACTTCCAAGCTAAGAAGGTACTATTTTTCTCTTCTCCATACCATTGTCCAGTAAGGGTTTCCCAGAATGACACCAGTCCATCAGTTTGTCTGGTCATGACCCAAGCATGTGGTTGTCCTGTATCTCTTGTACCAAGGCACACAAATGCATCCAAACCAAACCCCAGAAAGATACTACATAGCAAGGTGGCATGATCCTCGCAACTCTGTCACATCAGATAATTATTAGTAATTATTAGTAATTGATGATATGTAAATGCCCTATTAGGCCCATGGCATATCTCTCTGTCATTTACATATTAAGGAAACACTTTTCTTGTAGCTGAATGATTGTGTAACTTTGCCTTCACAACACAATTACACTGTACTTACCCCCTTTCCTCTGCATAACAATGCATGAAGGCTACTCCAAGTGTCTACTTTAATACCAAACATAGAACATTCTTCTTCATGCTTTAATAAACTCACAAACTGTGCTGCATGTCGAGGGTTGTCCAGCAACCATCCCACATGGATTGGTGTGATGTATGATATCACAGGCTTACTTGTCCCACATTCATTCTGGGCAAATATCTTGACCTGCTGGCGGCTATGCGACTGGTGGCTGCTTATGTAGGATTTCCACCATTGTCTTGCGTAATTCATGAAGCGTCTTTCTCTTTCAGAGATATGGCGATGAATGGAAGATAGGTGGTTCTCTAGAGCCTGAGGCTGGACAATCTGATATAACAATACAAGCTTATTAATAATAAAATAAGAAAATGTTTTAATAAATGAACAATAAATAGTTAGAGAGCGGATGGATGAATGGAATGTGATGGATGGATGGATGAAATAATAGATCGATGGATGGATGGATGGATGGATGAAATAATAGATTGATGGATGGATGGATGGATGGACAAATGCCATGGAAGAATAAATAAATGGATAGATGGATGGATGAATGTATGGGATAGATAAATGCCATGGAAAGATAGATGGATAGGTAAATGGAAGGATAGATGGATGAAAAAATCAGATGGAAAGAGAAATAAAAGGGAGATTAAATGTATGGATGAGATACATATAAGTAAAAAATGTTTTAATACGGAGAGATTTTCCATTATCACCTGATGGCAGCCATGTTAATTGACAGGAGCAATACACTATAGAATGGTTTTATATAAAAAAAGAATTCAATCCCCAAATGCAAAAGGTTTTTCTTGTTCTGCCATCTAACCACAGGCTGCCCAAGCTGTTTTTAGGGTGTGGGCAGGTGATGGTGCAAAACCTCTCTGACTTCTATCTACAGTACCTGTCTTCTGTGGGGTAGAACCTGAAACCTTAATTCAAGTGAGCCAATCATGATCTTGTTTTCTTCTCCCATTCCATTGATATCAACATTCACACTCAGCACCCCATTGGGTTCTTTTAACACCTTCTGCCACTCAAATGAGTGGGAACCAATCAGAGAGTTGCTTCCAGTTGTTTCAGTCTTTGATAGAATGAGGTTGATGGGGTCTGTTATTGATAATAAAACATCACCATCTGCAGAGGGACTGTTGTGGAGCTCTAAAAAGAAATCTATGGAAATAAAGAGGGCATTTAATAGTCGTCCTACTAAGTAATATTGTAAATCAAGGTAAATGTTTAAAATAAAAGTAAGTAAATTCAAGACAGTTTCAAGACCTCAATTATAATATGTACAGTAGAATCTATAAAATGCCATAACATAACTTGTAGCGAACTTAGGAAGACATTATAACTTCAGCTTGGTATTTTGATATGTATAGAGGTTATTTAAGGGTTTTTTTGGGGGGGAGGGGGGGCTTTCTTGTTTGCCTTGCATAAGGGGTATAATATACAGTACCTACCCCCTTTAAGACTTGGTTCTGACTTGCATGGGGTTGGATTGGACTTGAACCTTTGACCTCTGAAGTGCAGGTGTAGTACAAGTGTGGGAGATTTACTTTGCTCTTCTTTACCAGTACTGTGTAGACTGTGATCAAGTTCCATGAATGACTTTCCTCCCAACACTTCCATGTGTAGGTATGTTTTATTGCACATGTCTTGAACTACTGATGCTAAAAGACAGAAAGAAAAAAAACAAAGAAAATAAAAAACAAGTGAATATGAGGGTGGCATTAATAATTTTTTTCTACCCCTCCGCCCTTTTTTTGGGGGGGCGGATACGACTAGTAATCACTAGAGTTGTAAAACACAAATGTTGTTGCAGGGAAAAAAGCTAGAAATCATCAGGTGGAATAAAATAGTAGAGCTAGTTTGGAGGCATGTTTACATAAAAATGAAGCAAAAAAGTACATGGGTCGTTAGGTAACTTTATCTATGTAAGAGGGTGAAAATTGAAAATAAAAAAGTTGAATGATATACTGTATCCTCCATAGGGGTCAAATGATGGTGAACAATAAGGAGATTGGTTATGCAGTATGCAGTATCAATTATGCAGCCAAGTTTGTTAGTTTAAAAAGACTGAATTGGAGGTACAAGTCATTCCATCCTACCACCCTTTAGTTGACAAAGTAAACAGTTTGTGCTCTTTGTTATGTTTCTCAATAGAAGGCTCTACATTATCTAGAGTCAATGAGAAGGAAAATATATTACAATATACTGTATGCATTAGAAATAACTTACGTGATTGCCTGTCAAACACATGAGCTGTTATAGACGTTCTTCCCTCCTGCTTGACAGTAATGGTTTCAGTGACAGATGGAAAATCAAGTGATTCACTTGGGAAGGTAGGCTGCACACCCTCACATACATCAGTGTCACCCTGCTCCATTTTAATTGTTGGCATACAAACACCTATAGCTGTCCGTGACTGACCAGTAAATCCACTTTCAAGGTGGGGCAACGCTGGCTGGCCAGGTCGTTTTGAAGTATGGCAAGTATCCCCCTTTGCAAGACTTATGGTACTGTTTATTTGTGGATAGGAAGAACTTTCTGGAACTGGACTACCCATATTTTCAAACTTATTGCTTTGAGAAAGACTTGGCTGTGACATGGTAGAGTAATAGTTAGGTCTGCTTTGATCACTTGATGAATGTACTAAATTTTGGACTGGTGGAGTTGAGGGGGACGATAAATGTGGCACATGTTCTAAGCTGCTCTGAGATAAAGACGGCATACCAGAAGTGGAAGGAACTAAATTGTTTGTTACCATAGAAGCTGTAGGGGTGTCTGGAGTAAGTTCTCTGGGATTAAACCCAAACCCACACTGAAGGTAAACAAGCGATGATGATTTTCGTAAGCACCCATTGGAATAGATACGTGATAGCTTGGCTTCTTTAGACAAACATGCCATCATTCCCTCCAAGGCATGGACACCCACGGCTTGTTTCTCATACCACACTGGGACAGAGTCATCAACCTTGTACTGGACTGGACACTGGAACAATGCATCTGATCCTGGGTGAAGCTTTAACAAGTATTTCTTTAGTAGTGCAACAGGACACAATGGGTGTCCAGGTACAGAATGCATGGTAGTACCAGCAACACCAAATTTGGACTGAACATAAGGATTACTAGTACTGATCATTTTGACATTTTCCCGCCCAGCAGCGTCGATGTGGATTACAAACTGTTGCTTAGAAAGACGTCTTTGCTTTAAGTGATCACCAATATCAAAATGAAGCAAAATATTAAACCAACATGCTCTTAGAAGAAGTAAAGGAGTAGTGCCACCAATAGCTCCACTCAGAAGAAGCTTCTGCATATCCTGTGGGGAGATTGAGACTGAATGTCTCCAAGGGCTTGCCGCATTACCTTCAATTACTGCAACCTTCTCATCAAAAGCTTTATTTGCCTCTGCAAACTCAGATGTCTTCAAAATTGTAATATTTAACTGGCTCCTGAAATATCTATCCAAAGCATTCCTGATGTTTGTGAGGCCAGGTTTGGAGAAATCACATCCATCTTTACGGCGAGCTTCTTTGTAAAATTTCTTTAGTAACTGGTTCAGTTCACTAGGTTGCATTTCCTCCACAGGTTTGGTAACTCCTTCTGAATTACACCACACTATATACATGTATAAGAAAACAAAACAATCAGCCATGACAGCTAATCAACCAATCAGAAAATTTTGTTGTGTAGATGAGGCTTTCACATGTGATAGACATGACAGTCAAGTTTTTATGGTTTCCAAGAGTAGAAACAATAAGGTTTGACATTTTGGATGCACTAGTGGCTGTCTCTTCATCCTTTTCCTCCATCAATATGATGAAGACAGAAAAAAAAATGAAAAAACTTTACTATGACATGTTATATATTGGAACATTAACTTCCTTAAGATTATTTTAGGCTGTTTTAAATGGGATAAGTGGCTAAATACATGACTGAGGATATCAATATTAAATGTATTCCAACAAAATACACATACAAAATTACAAATTCATTTGTTAGATAGCATTTATATCACTCCAAACAGCAACATCCCAGCATCATCATTGCAATATTCAAAATTAAAGTCTATAACAACAACCATAATAACTCGGCGTGTGTTACGCTTCTAAACAGAGAAATAAATCTTAATTGAGATTTTTAAAAAATAGCCATATTGGTGAAACTACTTTTAAGGTGACTGCCTACTTTTGGAAATTGATTTAAACTTTTTTTAAAACTTCAATTTTCCGAATTGAAATTTAATGTTGATTCCAAATCTGGAAAGAAAAATAGGGTGTCCCGAGCTCGTTTTCGAGATAATCAGCATTTAATGGAAGCCTACGCACGAGCTTTTGGAGTAAAAATTGCGCCACCGGAAGTGATTAGAAAAAAATTAAGATTHATAAGATAATAGTTATTTGCAGACTMTATGATTGCACGAATGAAGGCTAGTCAATCATTCTACAATAATACATDGATATTTTCGACAAAAATACAAAAAAATACATTGATTTGTCATATTTTGTAGTTTCGGTGCTCTTAAAAAATCTCATAAAGTCGAACAAAAATCCCTACAAAAATCTATTTTTTCATGTGTTACTGATTTAAACTTTTTCTAAAATGTTGATATAACCTAGATTTTTAGGAGTTTTTTCAAATGAGCTATTAAAAAACAGAGAGTCCCGTGCAAAATTTGAGGGTTTTGCCCTGTTGAAGCTCAAAACACGTATGGTTCTTCAATAAAATCTTGTAAATTATTCAGCGGTTATTGAGCGCGCGCTCATATAGGGCTCAATTCGAACGTTCAAAAGTAGACAGCCACCTTAAAACGAATGTTAGAAGCATATGCAGCCATTTTGAAAATAAAGGGCTTGTCAAACGCGTTCGAAGAACAGTACAGCTACCATTAGTTTTTGTTATGCTGAACAAAGGTAGTAAATAATAAAGGTGTAGACTTACGCGTAAAAGTTCTGACAGCCCATTTTCTTTGTTTTTCAGCGGTGCTTTCTCGGCGAGAAGGGAAATCTCTCCCGACAGCGCGTGCTCCAAAAGGACTCGCGGCTTGAGAAGAATGGCTACCATCATTGTCCGGTGATTCGTCTGTCACGCTTTCTTCTGACTCTGCAGGACTCTCTGGGTACTCTCCACCTAGAGTATACATTATTATGTTACGAAAAAGCTGTGGGAATGGAAGTATTATAGAATATTTGAGGAAATCCTTGCAAACATAGCAACACCAGCCATCAAAACTACTTTATCGTATTCTCTATCTATTCAGCCTCCTCTAACGAGTAGGGTCTGGGAACGAGAATGATGTTTCCTCCAATTGGAAGTTGGCTTTTATCTACCAATGATGTAGCCTGCAGTGCAGACGCTTTTCTCAATGTTTCAAGGATCATCTTTAAAAAACATGCGCATATACTTATTTCAATAAAGTTAGTCACCCGAAAAGCTATAAAGCTGAGACCGACAAGGATTATGGGTAGATACATTTTACATGTTTCAACCGCTTGATAAACTGTCGATGGACTTGCTCATCTTTTACCAGTTATAGTCTCACCTCTCCTGAGCATTCTCAAGCTGCGGTTTGTATCAAAAAAGCTGTACTTGTTAAAAATTAATTGTTTCCCATGATCGTCAGTGATCTCAACTCTCTAGGTTTTTGGTGACTAACTTTATTGAAATAAGTTTATATGATCGATTGGAATCATAAAACAGGAATAAGTCAAAATGACGAAAAAGAATGACGAAGAATGACTTCAGAACATGTTGTTAGTAACTATGCAGAACATGGAAGACTGTCTGCGTCAAATCAAATGTAGCAAGGGACGCTCATTAGTGAAAAAATTTTTTTCTGCTGTAATAAGTTAATATTCAATAATTTAATTAATGTCATTTTATTTAAGGGACCGTCGTAAATGGTGGAACCTGTAAAGGTATCCCTTTAACCTCTCGTCTGCTTGTAATTGGTTTATATTTTTTCTTTATATTTTTTTTCATTAAAGACCATGGTACACTATGATAAACGTACTCTGAAACCACAGCGCGCGTTGACGTGAATAAAGATAAGGCTATTCCCTATGGACGTCGACCATGGCGCACTATAACAAACGTACTCTGAAACCACAGCGCGCGATGACGTGAACATGGCGCGCTATGAGAAACGTACTCTGAAACCACAGCGCTCGTCGACGTTATGAAATAAGACTTCATTCTGTAGCTAAATCTCAAGATGAAGAATTTGAGCATTTGACAGTGTATATAACTAACCAACTCATGACAAAGTTTATGCCGTGACAGATCAAAGGATTTTGGAAGGGAGTGACTATTACAAAGTTTATACCAGGAATGCGAGGAAAAGGGTAAGGGGGGGGGGGGGGGGGGGGGGNATAAATGGATAGAATAGGAATGGGTGGATGAATGAATAAATGGATAGAATAGGAATGGGTGGATGAAAAATAGTGGGATGGAATAGGAATGGCGGATGAAGACAGTAAGGAATAGAAGAGGAATGGGATTAAATAAATAAATGGTTATGATAGGAACGCATGGATGAAAATATGTACAAATGGAAGKAAGTCATATCTGAAGTAAAATTATTAATAAATAGCCCCTGGCCTTTACCTTAACATCTACTAAATCTTTCATGCTTCCTCCACTTTTAATTCCAGAGAGATCATTATCACATAAAAGAACAACCTGAATTTGATTTACAAGGAAAAATAAATTAATTAAATAGACCTCTTCGGCTCTGACATAATGTTTTCCCATTTCAGACCACATGTCATTCCCTAGAGTATCATTTCTTTGTTTAAGGTTTGTGCTCGGTTGCACATGAGAAGACATATTAATATGGATATAACTCAAACAAAGAATCTTATTCTCAAGGGAATGACACATGGTCTGAAATGGGAAAACATTACCCCAAGCCGAAGAGGTCTATTGAAACATGGATCCAATATCTTGAGGCCACACATGAACATGTTATATACAAATCATGTACAATAGTAGATTCAAATACCTTGGGGTAACTATTCACTATTATTAGAAAAATTAAGGGAAGGTATACTTTCTTTGTTGGGGGGAAGAGCTGGGGCTTAAGATCGTTGAACAGTTGTGCAGGTCAAACTTTTTATTCAGATGAAAGCTGTTTCGTTGCTGACGCAGAAAGCTCATGAATTTCTTATTTTTTTCAGTTTTTTAGTTGACTGCGAATCCTTTAGCCCCCTCCCAATAAATAAATAATGTACCTTTGCAATTATTACTATTCACCATTTTGACATTCCCTATAATACACTGTACACTGCAGTTTTTTGGGGGGGGGGGGGGGGGGGGGGGGGGGGGGGGGGAGGGTGTCATACTAAGGATAATACTGAGAAACTTGACAAAAAGGGTACTTAATATTATTCTGCCGATATATAGCTCAATAAAATAGAACCAAGCTGCGGTCCGTGATGCTCTGAGCAGGCCTATTAGGTCCTTAGACTTGTTCAATCAGTACCATTTGCAGATTTTCGTCAGGAAGGACTCGACCATGTCGTCGTAAAATATCATTAATTGTACTTTTATCCATGCTGTCCTTTTTCGGCGGGGTATTCCGTTTGTAGATTTTTTTTGTCAACGCGTAGTGAATTTTTGGGGTCCTCGCTCTGAATATCCAGCGGTAGGGCCAGGACATGAACAGAACTGAGGCCAGCCAGAAGTACCGAGGGCGAATCCACCATGACTTGGCAGCTAGATCAGCATAAGCAGAGAATCGCTTATCCAATCCTGGTATTTCCTTTTTTATCGACATCGATATATTCTTGTCTCTGTGTTTATTGATTGCGACCAATCTTTCTTGCTGTTCTGCGAATTCTCTTTTCGTCTGGCTATCCCCGAGTAAGATGTACGGGTCAACTTTGATGCGCGTGAGATATCCCTGCTCTAAAGGTGGTAGTTCCTGGTCCGAGGCGTCGACACAACAACCGTAGGTAAAAGGATAGTCCTGCTCAAAAGTTACCACCAGTTTTGTTTCCTTATTAGAAGAAGTTGCGGGTTCTGAAGGGCTGCTAGCTCGCGTCTTTGTTTCAAAGTGGTAGCACGTTATCATAATCGTTATCTCAGGATTCATTAGGTGCATGTTCTGAATGAAGGTCCAGGCAGACTGATCCTCCAAGATGTTGTTGATGTAATCCAGCTCGTGTGAAAACGCGCTTTCGATGAGAACAATTATGGGTGAGATGGCTAACATGACGAACCCCATGACACGCAGATAACTCCACGATGGTCCATACTTGGAACATTTTGACATCTCACAGGCAACAAAGACTGCAACCCACATGAAGAATGAGACGTATGCAACCAGAGATACTAATCTTACTAGTGTCACATTTCGGTAGAAACCTTTTTGACGCTTTATTTTCAATGCCTCATCTCGTCGCTCCACTGCTTCATGGTAGTGCTGAACACACTTTGCCAACTCCTCATTGCTCTTCGATCTTGCAGCAGTTTCGGTCTCCAAATACCATCTATCTACTTCTTCTTCTAATTCTCTTCGTAGTTTTCGCTCTTGTTTTGCTTCGATACATGTCTTGCATGTTTTCATGCAGTAGGCACAGAAGTATAAAACAAACGGTAAAGAGAACTGGATTAAGATCGCCACCAGTAATGCAGTGACTGCTACAGCAGTCACTGTATCTCCATCGAAATGTGGAGTTTCTTCAGTCATGCTTTTTATAAAGTGAAAATTACTCAACCAAATAATGCAATCGTTATGAAAGGTCACACAAGTTTATCCTTGCAAGCCTCGCAAAAAAAAAAAAATCCAGAAGAGGAAAATATATACTTTCAATTTTTTCTTTCTGTATTGACTTCATAATGTGGTGGATTATAGCTTTGTCTCTCTAATGTTCCGGAGAAATCATTTAGTACGTGTTCTAGCGCTTCAATAGTTTGGACGACCGTCTTTCAGCTCATTCGCTTCCGGCAGAAGATTGCACACGTAAATGATGTAATAGAACTTAGTGTGAGGTCATATATCGTAAAGGATTTCCGGCTCCAAATGAAAACGAAAAAATGCTTCTCTAAATATTTTCTTTATTTTTGTATTTATCATCGTAGGATTTGATGGGCGTAGTTCCAAGGCATATTGTTGGAAGAAGATCAGATACTTCATGTGAAGTATTTTTAGCTCCTTTATCATTGGGTTTATAATCTGCTCAACACGATGATTCAAATGCCTCTTTAGGAATACCTCTTCTCATACTCATTAATAATTCATGAGTAAACCAGCCAATCAATGGGCTATTTTTGGGTCACATGATGTTACTTGAAACCTGGTAAAGTCCTGTGAAAGGAATGCATTCAGTCTGGAGTAACTGGAACAAAATTAATTCAGTCGTACTGAATTAATTTTGTTCCAGTTACTCCAAGTCGAATAATTAATGAGATGAGAAGTCATTTCAAAGCCTCCAATATCGGACTGGACGGGATTTCAAGTCCGCGCAATTAGTTCCAGTCCTCGGCTGCGCCTCGGACTGGAACTAATTGCTTTGACTTAAAATCCCGTCCAGTCCGATATTGGAGGCTTTGAAATATTACTTCTGACCTCGAGAATCAGTACTGACAGACTTTCACACCTCAATGCAATGTCATAAAAATTTTTGTCAGATAGCAAACAGCGGCTCAGATACAAGTAACGTAATTGACTTATTCTCAGTTCAGTGATATCCAGTGGGACTAGATGTTTATGTCAAAGCTATGTCACGCAAACAAGCTTGTGCGAAGTCAACCGCGGATCTAGCCTCCTTTGCAGCCGTTCTTTGGGTCGTCACGCAACGTTGACACGTTGCGTGACGACCCTAAGAACGGCTGCGAAGGAGGCTACCGCGGATCCGACGTTTAAACTTGCTTCACCTTATCTCAGCCTATATCAAATCTATAAGGAATTGAACGTTAAAAGCACGCCTTATGCAAATTAATGTCCAAGTATTCTCGTTTCTCTGATTTTTCGTTTCGTTCCTTTTTTCTGTTTTCTCGAAGACTCGCGGCTTGGTAAATATTTACCGACAATCACTTCGCTTTTGGCGAATAATTGTTAAATAAAGTAAATAATTATATTCATAAAAGACACAGGGTTTCTCTCTTGATTCGTATAGGTTTAATTTTTCTCAGAGTTCATCCAGTTTTTCTCCCCACGTAAAACCTCTAAAAAGACAATTCGATATGCAAGAGGCAATGAAGGACTATGTCTCTGTTCTTCATGGTCTCATGGGGGTCTCATGGTCTCTTGATATTTAAGATTGAGGTGTGGCCCTGACTTTAATTTAATCAGAGGTTATTTCGGGATTCGATCTGTGTGTCAGCCGTGCCTTGTGCATAATATTTTAGGGTTCGATCTGTGAGTTAGCCGTTAGCATGTTGATCAGCCCAGAGGTTGTTTCAGGATTCGATCTGTGTGTCAGCCGCGTCTTGACAGGCTTAGACCATCCCAAGAGGTAATTGTTTTGGGGTATCGGTCAAATTTGAAGGCTTGAAATAGTTTAACAAATTAATCTTTATTTGTTCAACAACTTCATGATATTACAAAAATATTTCAAATTTAAATAAACATATAAAGTAATCCATACGTTGATTTGAATTACTTGGTATCCTCAAACTACTTTTTTGACCAGATAAAAGCTTGAAAATTGGCAATTAACCACCTTAAACTTCTTTTAAAATATACAAATACTACTAGAGTGACTAATTTTATAACCTAGAGTGATTTACTTCGCCTGTGAAACAAAGTTTTATCATTTAGTGGGCTCAGGTAAAACGTCGAACTTCACATGAGCCGAACCTAATTGAAACAATGGATAACAAGGCGGTCTGATGTCATTAGGTTCGGCTCAAGCAAAGTTCGACGTTTGACAATCAATCAATCAATCAATCAATCAATCTTTATTGTGCTCAATAGTTTACAGATATAAATAGTAATAGTTGAAATTGCAGGTGATAAGAGCACAGCCAATTAGAAATAGCAATAGCTAATCGAGCTAAGTGGCTGGGCCATGCGGAGAAAATCTATTTGTTGCTGATTGACTAAAGCAATGGATAAGACAAGACAAGACAAAAACAAAAGACGACAAGACAAGATAAGCCGGTGACAAGACAAGACATTAGACAAGACAAAATGGGCTGTGCTCCTATCAGCTGGACTAGAAGTGCATCATAGAACTATCAATAATTTGATATTATAGAGGCTTAATATCATGAGCCTTACAGTCCAAATAAAACAAAAGAACAATGGACACTGTGTTTACTACTTTGTATAAAGCTGACTATCCTATACGGGCTAAGTAAGATTACTCTAACCCGTACGAAACAAAAATGTGTAATAGTCAAACAGACGCAAAAGAATTGAAAACCATGGAAATAAGATCTACAAACCTGTGCTATTAGTCTATTAACTATTTCACGGATTAATGTGATTTTACCTGTGCTTGGCTCGTGAAACAAAGTAGTAATTATTTTATAACTGCTTCACACTCAATACATTTTACTTGGCAATCCTATCATACCGCGACCATGCACCGATGTGAACCTACCATTACACCAATCAGTGTCTTGAGGTATATACAAAGTGCATGATCAATGTAATATATAGAAGGATGTCCTTACGAGTTAAAGTTTACCTGTGACTGCACTTTGATTTGACATCTTTTATGTCCAATCAGCAATTTGGATTAGTTTGATTGACAGCTGCGTCATAACTAGGTGGAGGAGCACTGGGTACCGCTTGTGGCATGACTGGAGCTGGGAAAGCCTGCCCCGTGCCTTGGTTTGGTGGGTATGGCACGGTGCCTGCAGTAGGTGGGTAAAAGGGGGCTTGGGTGCCAGGTGGGGCGGAGGTAGAGTGCGAAGGAGCTGGTGTACCAACTGGTCCGGTGGGTAGGTAAGGAGGGGTTGGTTGGCTGCCTGATGCCGTGGGTGGGTATGGAGGAGATGGTGTACCAACCGGAGCGTTGGGTGGGTACGGAGGGTCTGATGAGTAGCTTGAAGTTGAGGGTGGGTATAGAGGGGCTCCTATGCCAACTGGTGATACGGAAGAGTAAGGAGGCGGCGGAGGCTCAGCAGAAGGCAACTCTGACATTGAAAACGACGGGTTGACATGGTCTTGAAGTAAGATAGGCTTTTGACGTTGCTGGAGAAGTGCCACAGGATCCATCATGTCCACTTCTGGTGGAGGATTTGTTGTCTTGTAGATCTTTTTCTTCAGGTCATAATAATTTTTGGCCGTCTTCGCTCTGAACAACCACCGGTATGGCCAGGTCATGAACAGTAACGTGGCCAGCCAGAAGTATCGTTGGCGAATCCACCAAGGTTTGAGTCTCAGATCGACATAGGCAGAGATACGCTTTGCCAATCCGGGGACTTCTTCACTATAAGAAAAGTCCATGTGGTCATCTCGGTGTTCATTCCTCTCCAACATGGCCTCTTTTTGTCGTCTGTATTCGTCAGCAGTTTCGTCATCACCGAACAGAATATGAAGATCAATCTTGAGTCGCGTCAATGCAACAGTACTGAGAGCAGGCATCTCGTTTTTTGATGCATCAACCCACGAACCGTAGGAAAACGTATCGACATCTACAAACGTGACCACGCGTTCTTGGTAGGTTTCTGTGCGTGACTGGGTGTTTCCATTAGCGTCCGTATAGTAAACAACCCTTGTTCTAGTTTCCCAGTGGTAACATTCCACCTTCATGGTTATGACTGGAGCGACCTGTTGCATTCTCTGGATGTAGCTCCACGCGGTCTCATCTTCCATGATGTTCTTGATATAGTCCAGTTCGTGTGAGAAAATACTTTCAATGAGCACGACTATAGGAGCGATGATCAGCATGATGATTGCTATGATATACAAAGCAAAAAAGATCACTCCTTGATAAGCAGTTGATTCATAGATGAGCAAATAGATAAGCCAAAGGTAAAACGAAAAGAACATGTGCATTGAAGTTAGCCTCCAATAACTTGCGTTGCGATAGAGTCCTTTTTTCCGCTTGATTTCCGTTTGTTCTCTTTCTCTTTCATACTGCTGGACGGTTCCCCTGTATTCTTGAACCCCTTGGTCTAATTCCTCTTGGCTTTCAGCTCTCCTAACCATTTCTAGCTGTCTTTCTAGTGCTTCGTTGAACTGCTGCTGTCTTCTTTCATCCTCCATTCCTTCATCCGTTTCCTTCCAACTCTTTCTGCAGATGGCACAGCACCATAGAATTAGAGGCAGCAAAATTTGTAGCAAAATAGCGGAGACCAAAATACCAGGGGTTAGACCAGGAATATCGTCGAAGTTGATTGGTTTTGACTCTGATGTATGAACTCGTCTAGGGTATGTATAAATAGGTCTTTCTGTAGTAAATCTTTCTGCAGACGTGCATGATGTACCTTGCCGTGACCAGTAGTTTCCATCCTCGCAAAGAGCATACCTTTTAGATGGATAGGAACCTTTACAAAACGTCATAGCTAAGTCTCCTGGACGATTTCCCGCGAAGTTAAACCCTATTTCTGTATAATATGGCTGGGGTTTTGAGCATACTTTCTTGATATCACATCGAACTCCCATGTATCCTGGAGCGCAGATACAAAGCGTTTCGTTACCGGACGTATAAACACATGTGGATCCACTTCTACAAGGTGATGTGTGACACTTGTCTGTCATGGAGCCGATGCCACGACATTTAACTTTGAGCGAGTAATTGTCACGCCAAACATTGTAATAAACGGACCATGTTTTAGTGATGTACTCGGGGCGCAAAGCAAGATCTTTGACGCGCATATACGCACCAGTATCATCATGTGAACTGATTGGGTATCTTGTCCTAGTGACTACCCAGTATTGATCCGATGTATACAGCAGATACCATGACTGTTTATAGTATTTATAGACGGGTCGTAGATAACTGAATTCTCCAGGCATTCGAATGAAGTAATCCATAGAAGCATTTATCAGTGTGTTGCCTTTTCCATCGTGAAAAGTAACGTTCAAATAAACTCTGTCAGAGTTGCATTCCCTGAAATCTTCGTCGACGCAAATGGCTTTAATAGTCGGAGGAGTTGTGGCGTAGTAGTTTTGCTTGTCGCGATCATTCCAGTAAAACCACTGAGATATCAACCCACTGAACACGTCGTCTCTATCTAAACTAGCTGAAGAAGCCAGCCACACTGATGGCCTCACGTAGCTCAAAACGGTAGCACCTACTCCGAAATAATTATTATAATTTGACCCATATGCAAAATGCAACGAACCTCCAGCACTTGCTTTGCTGTAGTAAAAAAACACAGTGGAATCCTCGTGCTTGTAAACAGGAAAGCCATTGTAATTGTAAGATTGTTTGACAAAGACTCCCTCGATGACTTTATACGGCATCTTGCCTTCGTCGATGTTTTGAAAGAAGATCCTTGGGCACAAGGTTCTTGCGGTAGTTAGGGTCATGAAGATACAAAACCACAAATAGAGAAGAAAATATCTGCGGTTCTCCATATTCATCCAAAACTTTATTTGAGTTGTTACTTCAGCGAGCATGAACGAACCGATGATGAAAATTTTTTATGTATGAGACTTTTCTTATTTCTTAATCGCGCTGCGCAAGCGCAACGCTGGTGATTTGCAATTTAGCAATACCTTCAGTAATGAAATAAGACGTGATTAAACACATGCCTCGAAACGGAAGTTTCAATCAAATTCCTTTGAACCAATAGGCTAAACGTTTTTCAAAGCATTTCAAGCTTAATCCATGCATAGGCAGATCTTGAAGGACACCATTGATCACTATTATAAAAGATGAAAGACAATTTTATCCTTCTTCAGTTATTAGATGCAAAGTACGGAGAAACAACATTTAGTCGGCTTCGGAAGGTCAAGTTCCAGAGGTTATGTTATTCACTTCCGGCGTTTGCATCATGCTCGAAAGCGGACCTACATTCGCCACTGCAAATCGAAATAGGATTTTTTAAAAAATATTGTTAATGTTTTCAAACAGGAAAATATATAATATTGACAGGCTTAAAATCAAGTAAAATTCCGGTTTATAAGTCATCATCATTTTTTTGTCTAGTGCTTCTCTGGTCTGTCTGTCCGGCTCTTGATCATCGGGCCTCCTCAACTTTAGTCTAGATTTATAGATAATATTCAGTAAAGCGTAGAAATGGAGATCGAGAGGGTAAAAAGCTCGACATTATTCGGTTTGCTTTCTTACTCTTCCAGGTCTGAATGATGGGAGATGATGATACTTTAAACGATATGATGGTGATGATGGTGACTGCTTTTTTGCTTAAATAAATCTTAATTTTTCGCTTATTCACATTTCAAAATACAATGTCTTTTTATCCTTTCTTAGTCCTCTAGATGGGAATAATACTCGCGGGAGATATTGATGATGCAGACAGATATATGATGATGAGTGGCATTGTGAGCCATTCTTTACAGGTCAGTGACCATCTTTCTCCGTCATGCGCACTAGTACCGTCAGCCATCTTGGAATTCTTGACAAGAATTTTGTACAAAGATCCAAACTTTTTCCTAGAATTATTATGAACCAAGCCCTAATGAGCCCGTTTTTCTAGAGAATGGCAAATACTACAGGGATGGCAACAAAATATTTAATAGATATGTTGAATATTGGTGGAAAAAGTGCAGATAATGTTGGTGAGTACGAAGAATGTATGGACACGTGAAATATTTTTGACAAATTAAAATTATTTAGGTCTTACAGTATTTGAAATTAATATTTTAACTGCTGTAGACAGAGTATCACTACTTTTAACCAGCTAAAAGTGTTACTTTTTCGCGTTATTTTTGTCACTATTATTAATTTTTATGCTCGATAACAAAGCTCGTCTTTACTTTCGTTTTCGATATCAAAAATTTGTATGCAATGAAACTAAAAAAACTTTTTATCTATATTCACCACGAATTGGATTGGTACAAAATAGAATCTATCCTAACACATTGAATTTAGCAAGCTAATTTATTACTTAGTTCTTTATTTATTATTTTAATATAGAAATATAAACCTTCAAAGGATAAGTTGTAAATAAATGGAATCTACCGGAAGTAGAGTCTTTTACGTGGTAACATCCAAAACTGTTATTGGCTTATTTAGTCATTCATTTTCACCTAATGGCGTATTTTTTAATAGTATATATTTTTTCAAAAAGTACAAAGACATGAGTTCAAAATATACATATTTACATATTCTGCAAACTCAGACTCAGACATTCCACTAGTTCATTGAGAAATAAGTTTTTCACTGCCACTAGTAAAAAACATTAAAGGTACTGACTGGTAATTTTTGACTGACAGCAGCGAAAAAACAAATTTTATTGTAAATCTTTTGACTGCCAAGGTAGCAGAATATTGAAAACTGCAGTAAGTTTCCTACATTTTACATACATTTATTCTCTGTGGACATGAAGGGTGGTCTCTCATCTTTGGGATCTTGGGTTTGATTATGGATTTGGCATCACATGTGGGTACAATTTGTTAATAGGTCTCTCCCTTTAAGGGCTTTTCTCTGGGTTCTCTTCTTTTCCTTCCTCTACAAAATCTAACACTAAATTCCAATGAATCTGTGACTTACAGTAGCTGTGCCCCAACTTTGATCAGCCCAGAGGTCATTTCAGGACTAATTCTGCAAGTCTGTACATTTGAACAATGTACAAATGTAAAAGTTGTATACGGTAATGAGAGTAAGTTTTTTTCTGGTTAGGGTCAAAAGACAATTCAGAAAACAAAGCCACTGAAAAAGTTGAAGAAGATGAAACAGTTAGGTGGGTAAAGGAATGTGTTATGAATGTGTTGTAACAACCAGTACAGCTGAACTACACAATTAGCTAGTCAAGTCAGTCAAGATATGGCAACCAATTTGAATAACTATTCTGGACTCACTTTCATCTCATAATTGTGTAAACGCTTTTATTTTTTCATGTGAACAAGAGGCCAGTCCAAGCTAGTCAGAATGATACAGTAGTTATTCAAATTGGTTGCCAATATTTTAATTTGGTGTACTTTTTGAATATCATTATCAATAATTTTGGTACCATTATCATATACTCTGGTTTGGGTAAGGGTCACAGTGCAGTAAAATTTAGCTTAGCAAAATGTTCACCTTTCATTGAGCAATGTGAGCCCTATGGGTTTAGCATGTTAGGCCCAGTCTTACCAAGAGTAGATAGTACTATTTGGTTGATAAATCCTTATCTAGTGCATAAGTGATGATGTTATCCAATAAATTTATCCACTGTACAAGATTTATTGGTTGGGCAAGTTGTAAATGTGGAATGTAGCGGTAGTGCATGTGGAGCACACCTCAAGGAAGAGACCAGTACGGGGATTGATGGCCGTAAAATATAACTTTTTTTCTCTAAGAGTTCTCAGGTATTCATGTCAAATGATTCAGCCTAATAATTCAATTCATGATTTTCTTCTTTGTTGGATTTCTCCCCTGCATGGGGATATTTCCCCTGGGTTCTTTAAACTTGGTCTCCTTGCACAATTTATGAGAAACACAAGTCTGGATATGGAATATTCTAACCTTATAATTTAAATCTTCAGAGAGTCAGTATCAGTGACAAGTTCTGCTGCTTTAGCATCTCCATTGAATCAGGTGAGTTGTTTCCTTGGTAAAAAGGTATTATGACCATGTTTTGACTTAAGGTTTTCATTAAGTGATCACTGTTAATGGCTGTAGCATAGTCTTGAAATAGTTACATTTAAGGACTGCAGACCACAGTTTTTGAAGGGGGTGGGG